GCTCTGGTTTGGGTCCCCACCAACTCAGAGTCACCGAGGACAGAGCTCACGCCTGGTTGGGGCTGTGTCCCCAGCCCTGGCCTGGCAGAGGAAGCCTCCGGCTCTGGTGACAGCTGCACTGGTGGCCTGGGCCTGCCTGGCCCTGAGGAAAGTGCCTGGGAGGATGGGGACTCTGGGATTGGGGCCGGGGGGACCGCATCAGGAAGGGACGGGGGGCCAGCGTGAGAGTCACCAGGGCCTTGGTGACGAGAGGCCATTGGAGGGCTTCAAGCAGAAGAGATTTAACCTCCATATATACGTTTTTCATAAACGCACAGAGCGCTCTGGCTTCTGCGTTGAGAATACGTTGCAGGGAGGTGGGGCAGGGAATCGGTTACGAGGGCAGAAACCCAGGGGGAGAGGAAGGTGGCCTGGCCGACCCCGGGATGGGAGAGAAGAGTCAGGGGCAGCTCCGAGTCCTTCTGCCTGAGCTGCTGGGGGGCTGGAGCTGCCTGTGGTGGAGCCGACAGGGGAGAACCCTGGGAGGTAGAAGGAGTTTTGGACACATGAGGAAAGAAATGCCTGTCAGGCACGCCAGGGCGTCTCCAGGAAGCTGCTGGGATTCAAGTGTGAAGTTCAGGGCAGAGGCCCTCCTGAGGACAGCCCTCCAGCACGGCCATCAGAAAGTGCGGGTGTCCGAGGATGGCTTCCTGAGGCAGCGGACAGTGGGCAGCCGGGGCTCCCCGCCGGCGGGCCGGCCCTCCCTGGCGCCAGCGCGCTCTCCCTGGAAGGGGGGACCACTGCTCTGGAGCCGGTGCCCGGCAGATGGACAGGTTACTGACCCTGTTCCTCCACCTTTCCCCACGGTGCTGCAGAAAGGAGGCTCGCAGGTGTGCACCCTCGTGAGCCCCTTTGCGGGATAATCGTTGGGTGGAAATGCTGGGCACAGCAGAGGCTTCTCCCCAAAACCCCGAAGACGCGTGGTGCACGCCACCTTCCAGATCTGGGCCGGGGTGAGGCGTGGGAGCTTCCTGGAGAAGTTCCGCAGGATGGCGTCCACGTGCGTTGCGCGTATTTCTGGCTTTGAATTTTCAATTTGCCAGTTTCTCTTCCTCTTCTTGGCAGTCGGTCTGCCCAGATTCTCTCTTCTTGGATCTCTTGGGTGATTTCTGTTTTCCTGGAAACCCACCCGTTGCCTCGAGGTTTTCTGATTCGCTTGGACGCCATTGAGTGGCAAGCAGGCCCCTGCGCTCTACTCCTGCGGACGGCCGCCCCTCACCCTGCTGCGCCCCGCCCTGCGCCTGCCCTGCATCGGCGTCGGCGGCGTGGGCGCCGACCCCGGGGGTGGAGCGCTGGGCCCGCACCCGCAAAAAGCCCTACCATTCCGGAGCCTGCAGGTGATTTTGGGAGAGTTGGTTCTGCTTTGTGGTTTCGTTAGTAATATTTTCATATTCTAGTGCGTTGTGGTCCAAGAATTTTATCTTAATGCTGCCCTTTGGAATTTGCTTTCTTTGTGGCCCCATGGTCCATGGTGTGTGTGTGTATGTTTTCAAGGGTGTTTGAACAGAAGGGAGATTCTGCTTCTCACACTCACACGCACACACACACAGTGTCACTAACGTGGTTATCTGGCCCCATACACCCTTGCTGGTGTTTTGGCCACTTTCACCTGTGATGGGCAGAGAGCGGTGACTTAAAATGCACTCACGCGGGAACAGTCCGTCTTTTCCCCCCTCCCGCGCCACCCGTTCCTGCTCGCCGCGGGTCGAAGCCGTGTGCGCGGCGCCTGGACGCCCGCTCCTGTAGCCGCGGCGACTGTGGCCCATCACTGATGCCCACTCGGCACCCTCTTCTCCGCATTCCGTGCTGGTGGCCCCAAGTCCGGCCTTCTCCAACAGCCCGCTCAAGGGCCCTGGTTTCTCTCGGTTTGCCCGCGTTGGCTCTGTTTCAGTCCTTCCTATTTTTAAAAGCCGATAAAACACACAGCATAACATGTACCGTTTTAACCGTCGCAAGTGCACTGTTCGGTGGCATTAAGCCCATTTCCTTTTTTGTGCAGCCGTCACCAGAACTCCTCTGGCACTTGTTGGTCCTTTTACACCGCACCCCTCCGAATCACTCCGCCTGCAGCGGGCTTTGTGTGCGATGCGGCCTGAGGGTCTTTTTTTTTTTTTTTTTTTAAAGCGGTGCGCTGGGCTCACCGACGCTGGCGGCTCGGGCAGATACAGTTGGTCTCGGTTCTGTCGTTATCATTGGCGATGTGCTTTCTGCTTTTATAGCTTTCGTGGGGGTTGTCAGTTTTCACCATATGTCTCTGTTTTCTTTCTTTTATTTTTTGTGTCTGTGTCTTTCTGACAATTTGGGAAGCTGTGTTTTTGATGCCGTGGTTAGCTTTGTAATTATACTATAAGGATGTGATACCCTTAATCATGCCTTTCTTTCGACTGTTTATTTTCTCCCTATTATGAGCAATGTCCAAATTAACATACCGTATTTTGCCATGTATAATGCGCACTTTTTTTTGCCCAAATTTTTGAGGGGAAAATAAGGGTGCGCGTTATACAAGGGTGGTACTAATTTCGTTTAACTAATTAATGTTTTTAACTCTTTTATTTATGCTTATGCATTAAAAGTGTAACTCTAGAAAGCAATAATGATATCTGTGTGCAAAAGAATTCCCTAGAAGACGATATTCAGTTTTGTTTCTAAATATAAATAAATAATTGAATTTTAAAAAATTAAAACGAAAGATTTTTTTTCCCCACAAAAGTTTAGGCTAAAAACGTGTGGGTAGGGGCATTATACATGGGAAAATATGGTATTTCTACTTTCTGTCTCTTTCCCCACATGATTTCAGTGGATGACATCATATTATTTTTTCTACTTACCTTTGCAACTAATGTTACTTACACCTCTAGGCGATTCTTTAGACCTCCAACTATAGAGGAATAACACACAATGTCTCTGCGTCTCCCTCCCCATTTATTTTCATTTGTACCAGCCCTCTGTTCCCTCTCTCGCTCCTTCCTGCGATGGTCACGGTCCCCGGACTTGCTTCGGACTCAGCCTTCGGGTCAGACAGAGCCCCGCGGCCAGGGGTCTCGCCCCAGTGACCCCATCGACTCCAAGTGCGCCCTCTAGCGATTTATATCAGAAGGGCTCGCGGGAACTAGAATTCAAAACGACGTTCAAAACATTTTTGTTGACTTTGTACTTCAAAATGGTTCATCTGGGCTTTCAGTTCTTGGTTCATGTGTTCGTTCATGCAACAAACCTTTATGAGGCCCCCACCGTATGTCAGTTACTGTTCCAGACCCTGGCGCTACAAAAACAAACACGCCGCACAAACACCTCGGACTTCTTGTAGCGGGCGGGGGAGGTGCACAGCGAACCTGACCAGTGCGGGAGACGTGAGGTGTGCCGCGTGATGTGCTGCGGAGAGAGACAGCGCGGGTGGCGGGGGGTGGGGGGCCGGCACCTGGCTTTGTTCTTCGGGGCAGCAGAGAAAGCTCCGCGGAGTCTCCCGCCCTGATTCCCTACGCGCTCCCGGTGACGCGGAGTCAGGCCCTGGCTCGGACCCTGGAGGTGCCACTCACTCCGGAAAGAGGGGCCGCGCAGGCTCAGTCACAGGCCCTCCCCGACCTCCCGCCGCGCCCCTGACCGCATGCGCTGCAGCTTGGTTGAGGATGGGTGTTCCGTTAAGAGCGTTAATAAGGTGCAAGTAGCAGAGACCCAGTGGCCCTGGTGGGGAGGTGCTTGGTGGGGGCCGCCCCCAGAGCCAGGTCGCTCCCTGCATTAGTGAGGGGCTTCATTCTCCTGCTGTCACTAGATTCGTGTCCCCTCCCCAGTAGACTTCCATGGCAATGCCATGGCTCATGTGATCACCCCTATCTGCAAAGGAGTCTGGGAAGGGGAGTGGCCGTGACTGGATGGCCGCCCTACTGTTGGGTACAGGACAGGGAATTCACGGTGCCTGTCCAGCGGGAGTTTGTGTTTCTGCTCCTCACTGGCCTTGTTTGGAAGTGACTCAGAGGGGAGGAAGGGCTGAAGCAACCCGACTCTGCCCATCGAAGCTGCCCACGCCCCGTCCCTGAGCCAGGAGCCCCCAGTTTCCTCCCCATGGCTCTGCGTGACAGGGTCACAGCCAGTGGTCCGGTCCCAAGAGTCATAGTGGGTGGCATGATAATGGTGAACTGTACCAGGACCTGCTCTTAATAATTTTTACTTTGTTATAGCAAGGGTGGCCATACAGTTTATCATCAAAACTGGAAAACTTTTGGGTGTGAAAGGGGAACAATATTCAAAATCATCTCAGAGCCCTGGCTGGTGTGGCTCAGTGGATTGAGTGCTGGCCTGTGAACTGAAAGGTCACCAGTTCGATTCCCAGTCAGGGCACATGCCTGGGTTGTGGGCCAGGTCCCCAGTAGGGGACGTGCAAGAGGTAACTGATCTATGTATCTCTCACACATCAATGTTTATCTCCCTTTTTCCCTCCCTTCCCCTTTCTCTAAAAATAAATTAAAAATATTTTTTAAAAAATCATGTCAGAGCAACAGGTGTTAACTGGAGCTGTCCAAAGCCCAGACATGTTGAGGGAGATGAACACTGTTGGTTTTGTGAGCTGATCTGATGTCTGAGATTGAAAATTACATCTTTGTATCTGCTCTCTCTGTTCTGATAACTACCCTGTTGATTTTCTTGAATTTTCTATGTGTATTATCTGCAAATAATTGTTATCTGGGAATCTTCTCTTCCCCTCCAGAAACTCTATGCTTTTTTTCTTGTCTTATTGCGTGGGGCAGGCATGCTGGCGCCAGATGGAACAGCCTAGTGTCAACAGGCTTGCTTGCCTTGCTTCCAGTCTTAAAGTCAAACCATTCTCAGTGTCCAGAAGACAAAGGCAAGTCACGGGCTTAGAGAAACACTAGCTTCTCCTGGCACTGAGGCCTGGGAGAACTGTCCCCAGCGTGTCCCCAGGGAAGAGGCACCGTGTGATATTTTGTTTCCTTCTGCTTCCCCAGAAAACCCTTTTGCCGTGCCTCAGGATGGGGGAGGTGAGACCCGAAGCGCCTGGCGCAGCCTCCGAGAAGATCAACTTCAACAGAGATGCCAGGGAGAGCCGAGGCGGTTGCCATGGTGGCAGAGGAGGAAACACCACCTGTGCCCCAAACCCCCTTCGGCGGACTTCTACGATTAGGAGCAAACTCAGGGGCGGGAGCCCGGAGGGGCGGGGGAGGGGGTTCTGAGCCACCCGTCCGCAAGCAATAGTCCCATTTTGGGCTGGTGGCTTCTGAGAGGTGACGCCATCGTGGACTCACGACGACCAACACAAGGCCGCTCTGGCCCCTTCAAGGCGGAAGGATCCGGGGCTGTGCGTCATCTCCGGGGTTCCCTCACCTCCGTTCCCTCCAGTAGTGGCTCGTGGGCCTGTGCGTGTCAGAATTTTGAATGTGAGTGTGTGTGTGTGTGTGTGTGCACATGCGTGATTGGGGTGTTCTTTTTGCTTGTTTGGTTGGTTGGTTTTTATGGGGTCCCTCCACGTTCTCTGACGGGCACGTGTCACCGTGCGCTGGGGGTCCTCGCCGGCGTCCTGGGTGCCGGCGCTCTGCTGGCGCTGCAGCTGCGAGCCAGGTGGAGCCAGCCAGCACCGGGCCCAGCCCTGCTGAGTCCTGGGGCGCGCTGGGGTGGTGGTGAGGGGCGTGTCTCTGACCGTCCGTGGGGCGGGCACGAGGTCGGGTGTCTTCGTGCGTACCCGTTCTCACCGCCCGTGACGGGGTGTGATCAACCCCCATCAGAAACGGCTCTGGGAGGGGGAGGTGTCCAGCTCACACGGTGAGGGGGGCACCCAGCCCAGTCCCAGAGCACCTCCGGGTCACTTCCCAGGGGACGGGCCATCACCCCAGGTTCTCCACGGTCACTGCCCTGGACCCCAGTTCGCATAGCACATTCTGCTGGAGCGCCTGCCGCGTGCCAGGCCCCATGCTGGACGGTGGCGGGGACAGAGAGGAGCCAGGCAGTCCTCGTCCCCGCCCCAGGGGAGCCACCGTCTGTGTGCGGAAACCCAGAGGGGAAGGTTCTAGAAACCCTTTCATTTTGAGGTGGGACTTTCACACAGACCTGGATGCCCATAGCATTCGCCCATGGAGCTCGCCACGGCCCCTGCCCACCCCCTCCCCGGGCACACAAGGAAGGGCATCTGCCTGCCGGTGTGGGCGCACTCACTCCACTGGTGTCAGTGACACCGAAGTCGCCCCCAGCTCTGGGCGCGGCAGGCCCTGCTCTGTCAATGTGCGTCCCCTCAGCTCGAGTATCCACACTTAGCCGCCCGCTCCCCCCCCCCACTCCGACCGCAGACGCAGCAGCGGGCAGGCAGGCCCCGCTACTGCTCAGGGGCCGGTTCTCCAGCCGGGGCAGGGGCCGGAGGGAAATAGGTGGTGGGTGAGGAAGGTGGGGAGAGCGGGGAGCGCTCTGCTGAGAAGCCGGGCACAGCCGGTGAGTGCGGGCTGGGCTGCACTTGGGTCATCTGGGAGGGCCTTTCTCAGCAGGCGGCGGGCCCTGCTCGGAGGGATGAGCAAGAGCCAGCTGAAAGAACATTCCAGAGGGAGGAGATAGCTCGTGCACGGGCCCTGGGGCGGCAGCAGGCTCAGCGGGTTTGGGGGATCTGAGGACGCCCAGGGCGGCGGGGACCCAGAGAGTGTGGGAGGGGTGAGGGGCACAGAGCCCGGACACCGTGGTTCACTGTGAGTCAGGCCCCTCCCCCGATAAAGCAGAAGGAGCGTCCCGGGGTGTGAAGTGTTTTCCATGCAGCCTGGCTCCTCATCCTCCCAACAGCCCCATAAAGAGGGGACTCTCCCCATTTGACGGACTAGGAAACTGAGGCTCAGGTGGGTGGAGTGGCTTGCCCAAGGCCCCACGGGTGGGCTGTGGGACACCAGACTCCTCCAGACGGTGGCCTAGGGGGACAGCCTGGGCAAGGCAACGTGGGAGAACCTTTGCTTGGGTCTCGACGGGGGGTGGGCATGGCTTCCCTTACCTCGGACCCGAGTCGTCCAGGCCAGGTGCCAGGCCTTGTCCACGTGGAGGAGCCGTTGCCATTCGGCCCAGCTGGATCAGCCTACACCTGCCGCCCACGTGTGCGGCCTGGGAAGTCACAAGAACCTAACCCCATGGCTTAGGGGACAGGGAGGTACAAGACCCAGATTCTGACAGCAGCTCTGCATTAAGAGGAGTGTGACCTTGGGCAAGTCCCATACCCTCTCTGGCCTCGGGTTCCTAGTCAGTAAGAGGAAGGAGTCAGACCAGGCATTTAGGAGGCTGCAGGTGTAGCTTCCTGTGATTCTGGGACCCTTTCTCTGCCAGAAAGGAGCTGGTGGCCTTGCCTCCCTGCCCCTGAAGCCTGGAGCAGGAGGTCACTGTCACACGGACCAGCTGGAGCCAGGATTCACCTGCTGTGCGGCCCTGAGATCTACAACTTGCAGGATGCAAACCAGATTCAGGGCAGCTGGTGGTGCAGGTGGGCGGGGCCACAGCCCCGCCCCTTCCCACTGGGTGGCCTGGGGCAAATCACTTCCTGTCCGAGTTTCAGTGCCTCCCCTGCCTGTGGGCTGGGGGTGGGGGAGGAGGTGAGGGCCAAGAACAGTGCACGCGGGCCCCCAAACCCCTCGGGACCCTGGACCGTCCCCACCAAACCTGTCCCCACCCTACTGTGGTCAGCAGACATGCCAACTGAATAGTGTCCCCGAGAATAAGATGCAGGGTAGTGACACGTTCCAGTAGAGACTTCTAGAGTTAGTGACTTTTAGTGACTCCCACACCTCAGTCTTCAAGCTGCCTCCGTTTACTTTTTACTGTGAGCTCCCGGCTATCACCGTGTCACGTGTCAGAATGACGGCAATGATGATACTAAAAGGACAGACGAGGAGGACGCGACTCCGAGGAACCGGTGTTGGATGCTGGTGTGTGTGACTCGCCCCTGAGTGTGTAAGGACGCTGCCCCCCGGGGAACTGTGTGTTGTTAGTGAGCAGTTCTGTGCTTTCCTTCCCGTCCGAGTGGAACTGGCGCGTTTGGGGATCTCCGTCGGGACCCACCGGCTGGCAGCCCCCTCGGGCCTCTCGCCCTCGCCTTGACCTCTGGGATCGCCCCGAGTCTCGAGGAGCAGCCTGCTCAGGCGAACATCGGACGCCGGCCAGGACCCATGTGAAACAGGCCTTAATTGAAAACACACACGCACGCACGTGCACACGGCACCGGTGCACGCACACACGCACGCACACGTGCACCCACGTGATCCTGCAGGGAGAGCCCGTCTCTCTCGCTGTCCCTGTGGCTCTGCAAACACAGCAGGTAGGCAGCCAGCTGGGGCGGGCGGCATCTCCCCTCATCATCTGAAAAACGCTTCGGGCGAACGTGCGCCCCAGGACCGGAAAGGAGGACTGAGGGGGCAGGGGTATCAGGCCACACGTGGCCAGCAATGGAGGTGACAGACTTCTGCCCAGACAGGCTTCCCAGCTCACCGTCAAGTCCAAAGATCCACTTAGGTCATTCCGATGATGACGAGGCCGTGGAGGGTGTCTGTGCCCGGCGCCATCCCCCACGCCCCCAGCAGAGCCCCCAGGCCCCTGTCTGCGCCAGGAAGGGATCCCGACCCTCACCGCCTCTCCAGCCCGCTGTCCCCACCCTGGCCCCGTTTCCTGGCCCAGTGGACTCCCAGTTCACTGTGTCTACAAGAGCCCGTGCCATAAGACAAGCTTCCCAGGGTCACGGGCTTTTAAAACGCGATCATCGGTTTATTTTAACTGTTTCCAACTTGGCTGATCGGTGCCCCACCCGCAGAGAGCTGCACGCCCTCCGTGGCCTCTTGGGTGAAGGGGCGGAGGCCTCACGGGAGAGCTCCTGGCGGGGTCACGGGGTCCTTTCCTGTCCACGCTGAGAGGCAGCCAGGCCCTCACTGAGGGGCAGCTCAGTGGGGCCCCTCATCTGCCATGCAGATCGGCTTGGACTAGTAGTGGAGGCGACTCTTGGGGATTCTCGGTCTTATGGCCCACCTGGCCTCCATAGGCCGCCTGAAAGGTCAGAGGGGCGGCCAACCACCCAACGAGCGCCTGACACTGTGGTCCCTGCCATCTGCAGCCCCGGAACACGCCTCCCGGCCCCCTTGCCACGCAGGCGCGGATGCGGACGCAGCGCCACACGGTAGTTGAGTGAACGGACGCAGTCAGGCGAGACGGAAGGTCCTACAAAACCCATTTGTGCGCATGCGCATTCACCCCTCTACCCGGCCAGTGCTCGCCCCGCTCCGAGCCCAGCGCCCATCAGGGAGCAGCCCCTGCCGGCGCCGGAGACGTCGGGAAACGCGCTGTGTCCGAGGGAGAGGCTGGGGTCGTCCTGCAGGGGCTAGTCGTGCCTAACAGTTAGCAACGCTCAGATTCCCGAAGCAGACAGGGAGCACGTGCCTCTCCCGACCGCGAAAGTGACCTTGGAGGTGGTGTGATCCCCCCACCCCGAGTTTCTAGTCCAAGACCCTCCCAGACAGCTGGTGCTAGACAGATGCTTGGTGAGCGAACAGCTGCAACCATTAGTCCCACTGTATCCAAAACTCCCACCTTCACGCCAAAGCCCTGGCCCATTGGCCCTTGACGGACCGAAATGCGGGGCTGCTGCGGGGCCCACAGCCAGGGGGCACCGTTCACAGCGCCGTCACATAAATGGTCGCAGGATCCCAGGGCACCGTTCCCATGACGTCACTGTGAATGGAGGCTCCGGGGCTTGTGGGATGAGGGACCCTGTTGAGTGGCCCTCAACCACCCCCCAAAATGACAGGACCCCGTCCGAGGAAGACCAACCCTGGGGAGGCTCACTCGTGCACCTGATGGAGAGTGACAGGTGGCTTGGCCACCGCGGGAACCAGACTGGTGGCCGAAGAGAACCTCTCTAGAAACCTTACCCCCAGTGTCTCACCGACGGTGGCGTCCCGTCTCTTCCCCCGTTCTCTGTGTCAAAGCTAGCGGGATGTGTCACGGTCCGCCAACCACACCGTCAGGGGCTGGGTGACGCGCACGCCGAGGGCGGGGCTCAGTCGCCAGCACCAGGCAGGGTTCCCCGGCGGGTGGGCGGGACCAGGGCGCACGGCTACGGGGGGCGGGGGGGGACAGAAACATCTTCTCTCCCCTGTAAACCCTGACGTCACGTGGACCGGCGTGGGGCCTCTCTGAGAGTGGATAACCGGGAAAACCAAAAACCAATAATGTTCCTACTATCAATAATAATAATTAATAATATAATGTATTACTAATGATGTGTTTTACACTGACCGCTGTTGCACTGCTTTTGTCTTTATATACAGTAGTTTTTATAAAGATGCCCTTAGGTTTTAATAAAGGAGTGTCCTGTCCACGGTGCCCTGGATTGAAATTTACTTCCTCGTTTCAAAATGCCCTCACGGGAACCTGCGCTCCTGCTCCTCATCACTCCCTGTCCAAGGGAGGGTGGGCAAGGAGCTGTCTCAGGTGGCATCAGGGCAGCTGGTCCCACGAGACCACCCTGAAGACCTCAGGGGGTCCAGCGTTCACCCCTCAAGTCCACCACCCCCCAAGGGGCCAGAGCCAAGTCGGCGAGGAGACAGAGCCGTGAAGGGGCGCTGGCAGGCGAGGTGGGGAAGGCGCGGTTGCCGGTGGCCCCTGCTACATTGTCACCCCATGTCACCCTTGTGCCCTGAGCTGGCGCTGTGGGACAATGGCTGTTCCTGGGCGGGTGCAGGTCAGTACCTGGCTCTGAAGGTGACGGCGTGCCGATGCCAGCGGGAGCATCTGCAGAGAGGGACCAGCCCTCCAGCTCTGGAGGGGGAACAGACACGTTTATTGGACAAAGGGGGCTTTTGTGCCTCCAGCATTGGCCACCCCCAGGGGCCACACTGGGCCCCCTCCCCACCCAGGTCCCTACCTCATTAACAGTCTGCCAGAGCCGTGGCTCTCCAAAAGCAAAGGGGCCAGGCCCAGATCGGCTCAGCTTCAATGTCAAATGCTAGTCTGAGCTCTCCCTCCCTCCCCCATGGGCTTGAGCCGCAGGTGATGGCTTAGTGGGTGAGGCGTGGCTCTCAGCACACCCCCCTCCCCCTCCTCAGCCCAGTGGGTCTCGGGGCTGGGAGACAGAAAAAGGACCAGAGAAAGGGCGCAGTCGGGGCAGATTGCTGCCACAGCTTTGCTGCTGTGCACACGTTCTTGGGGGCAAACGGAGATGCCTTTGACACCAGGGGGGTCTTCTCGTGCCCCCGTAAAGCTTATATTCATACAAAAACCTGTACCCCCAAACTGGAAAGCATGCGAATACCCTTCAGCCATGAATGGCTGAACAGACAGTGCATGCCCTCGAGGGATGCCACTCAGCAACCAAACAGAAGGCGCTGCTCAGTGGCCTGTGCAACCGTCTGCGTGAAGCCCCAGAGAATCCTGCTGCGTGAACAGAGCCAGTCCCAAACGGTCACACACGGCATGATTCCACAGGCAGAATGTCCTTGAAATGGCACTGTTATAGAAATGGGGGACAGATTGGTGACTGTCAGGGACTGAGGTGGCCAGGGGCAGGAGGCCAGTGGGCGCAGCTATAAGTAGGGGCAGAGGAGGAGTCCTGGTGACGATGGAAATGTTATCTATCTGCGTGCCAATGGCAACACCGCCGATGTGACATTGTCCTACAGTTCGTGCAAGATGTCACCATCGGGGAAAACTGGGTGTGGGGATCCCTCTGCACTGCTTCTCACAACTGCGTGGGAATACACAGTTATCCAGGAAGGAGAAGGTTCGATTTGGGAAAACGGATTGGACACCACTGAAGAAAGAATGAATGAACCTGAAGATGTGTCGGAAGACAATGCCCAGGTGACGACCATGGAGCCAGAAGGACCGAACGCACCCGATCGTGGGAGACGTGCGACTGGCAGGAAGCTGTGGCTCCAAGGAGGGGTGAGGGGGAAGGAAGAAGAGGCTACTTGGACAGCTAAAAGGCTGAGACATTTTTACAAACGATTAAAGACATGAAGCCACAGATTCGAGAATCTTTGCTTCTTAACATTTGCATCACCACAGGGCCCCCTCATGTTGCCTTTTATGGCCACACCCACTTCCCTCCAGCCCTGCCCCCGAACCAAACAACAGTCACCGATCTGTCCTCCATCCTATAACTGTGTCATTTCAAGAATGTCTGTCAATGGATTTACACAGGATGTAATCTTTCGGCACTGAAGTGGGGCCACTTCAAGCAAGTAGCACCCCTTCAAGATGCAAAAGACAAAGAGAACATCTTAAAAGCAGCTAGAGAAAGGTGGGCATCACCAAGGAATGCCCTAGAGAAGTCCCCTCCGTAAAGTGACTCAAGAATCCAACTGCTCTCGCTTTCTGTCTCCTCAGCATTCCACGCGGAGCTTCCCCGTGGTCAACGCCACCAAACGGAAGTCGAGAGAGAAGGGAGGTTCTCTTAGCACCTCACCCCAGAAACTGTTATATGTTGTCTTCCTAAAATCCCCAAACGAAAACTCAGTCTGAACACACTGTGGTCAGATCAATATGCTGTTGGCATAAGAAGAGACACACTAATCAACCCTGGCTGGTGTGGCTTAGTGGGTTGAGCACCAGCCTATAAAGCACAGGGTCGCCGGTTCAATTCCCAGTTGGGGCACATGCCTGGGTTGCCGGCCGGGTCCCTGGTGGCGGAGGGGAGGGGCTCTCCAGAGGCAGCCGCACATTGATGTTTCTCTCCCTCCCTTTCTCCCTCCCTTCCCCTGCCTCTAAAAACAAATAAATAAAATCCTAAAAAAAAAGAGAGACACACTAATCAGACTAGAGATATATGTGAGTATATATGACAATTTAATATAACAGAAGTAGTGTTTCAGTACAGTGGGGAATTGCTCATTAATATATAATTAGTATTCTTGTTTCACAAGTATTTACAAATGCTGTTAGCATGACTGGATGTCCATCCAGAAGAAAATAAAACTGAACCCCTATTTTAGCCAATAAAAATTCAGCCAGGAGTTTTAAAGGGTTACATGAACGCCCTCAGTGTAGAGAATGTTCTTAATCAAGACGAGACACGGAAGAGCTACGGAAGAAATGGTAAACATTTGGCAATATTACAATTACTCTTTGTATGACAAAAGATCACACAAATGTGAGCGAGAGCTGTAAACGCAGAGAACACATATATGGCTTATGTTTAATTAGCAGGGAGCATGAGCAAACCGACAGAAGAGGGATAAACAACCCGACCTCAGAAGCAGGAGAAGGGGCATCAAGAGGCGATTCACAGAATGAATCTCAATGCCAACAAACGCTGGAAAGACTTTCAAACGCTCTGGTGCAGAGGGGAGCGAAGTAAAATAATGAGATGCCACTCTACACCCATCAGACTGGCAAAAAGCAAATCTATAAATCTGTCGTTAGCAGCTGGGTGAGAACAGGGTACTCGCACGCACGCACTGCCATTGGAAATGAGAATTATTTTAACCTTTGTGGAAAGCAATCTGAAAATATCTATTAAAACTGAAAACACACGCAGCCTTCGACGACCCAGCCGGGATGGCAGGGGATGGAATCCCGCATTGGCATGGAAACGATGATGCTGAGCAGCAGGGACCCCGCTGAGAGCGCTGAGCACGCAGCTCCCCGGAAGCAAACGTGTGCGTGCGTGTCCACCCCTGTATTTACCATCAAACGTGTTCGCATAGAGGACGTGTGGCCCAGAGTTTACCAATAATAATAATACAGTATACAACACTCTTTATTGTAAGTTTTATGTAGTCGACTGATCCTCCCGGAAGGTCTACTGCAACCAATCCGTGAACAAGAGCTGGGCCCTCGCGAACGCCACTGCGCGCGCGCAGTGTCGTTCTCGTCTGGGCGGAAGGCGGAAGCGAAACCGGAAGACGCGGCGGCACGCCGCTCTTCCCCGGAGGCAGGACCCTCCTCTTGGTGGGACCCAGTAACAGTTTCGGAATCCGGGGAGCACCGTCTTGTGCGCTATTCCCAATGCCATCGCTACGGACGTGACAGTTTTAAGTCGCATTTGCGTTATTAATGCTACCGTGTCTTAAGTCTAGACAGCCCACGCGGCACTAAATCAGGCCCTGGCTTGTCGCGTGTGCCAAGGTCCACGGTGTGTGCGCTGCCACCACGGCCCCCTTGGCACGGGCCCCGGGGCGTGCCTGCTCGCAGACGTGGGAAGAGCGGCGCAGAGGCACGCCGCTCCACAGCGCGTCGGAGGGTCTGTCACCCTTGTTTCTAACGCATTTCTTTATAAGCGTACAGAATTTAATTTTTTACGGGCTGCATGAGTAACTGGTTCACAAAACTAGCCACAGGCGGTGTCACGAGCTCACGTGCGCCACCTCCAGCACGCTCCTGGAGGTGTCTGGCTAGCGAGGAAAGGCCACACCGTGGGAGTGTATGCAACTATTCAAGGGAACGAATTGGGGGTCTACCGGGGATTTGGAGGGGCTGTCAAACCAGAACCCACAGTGCAGACACGAGAGTACAGGATAGAGCGCGTGTTTGTGACCTAAGGCCCCGCACAGAACCTGTGTGTGTGTGTCCGCACATCAACGCAGGCTGATGCGCATGGGCAGTGGGACCTGGGCACCTAGGGTGTGCGAGTGGGGGGAAGGGAGCCAAGCAAAACAGGAAGACGGGACACGAGGACGCCCATGGGGCAAACCGTGCCCATGCTACACAGTGCACCGTCCATGTATAAACACACGCGTGTGTCTTCACATCGTTAAAGCACATTTCAAAACCGAGTCGTCAGCTGGACGGGTGTGGAGGTTATTTATTGTTGCATAACAAAGCACCCCAAAGCGTAGCCGCTGAAAACACCCCCGGCCATTTGTTGGGACGATTCTGTGGGGTGAGCACGTGGGTTCTCCACTCCTTGGGGCGTGGGGCTGGGGCGCTGGGTGGCTGCGGGGTTCAGCATGGCTTGCCTCCCACGGCTGGCGGTTGAGCAGGCAACAAGCTGGGCGCTCAGCTGCAGCTATGGGGGGGGCCTCAGTTTCCCCCCCACCCCATGGCCTCTCCACAGGTTGTTCGGGCTTCCTCACAGCATGGCGACTGGGGGAGC